TCACACCTCCTGGCGTTCCGCAGTACAACGGCGTCGTCGAGAGCGCCATCTGTAACATCATGAAGGCCGGCATGGCCGCTCGCCGCAGCGCTGGCCGAGTGTTCAACGTCGACTTCGCCTCCATCCCCGGCCTGGACGAGCGCGGTGACCGTCTTTGGATGGAATCGGCGAAATGGGCCGCCGACGCTCTCAACCAGTCGGCGACCAAGGCCAACCCCGGGCGGTGCTCACCGCACGAGATCTTCACCGGCGAGCAGGGGCCTTTCCGCGTGCTGCCGTTCTTCCAGCCCGGCTTCATGCGTGAGGATCGCCGCACCAGGCTCGACGACCAGGCCACCCTCTGCTACTACCTGAACGGCGGCGACAACCACCCGAGCGGCACCGTCAAGGTCCTCAAGGCGTCCACCGGCCGCGTCGTCTACACCAACAACGTGTCGTGGGTGACGTCGGCGCCAGCCGGTGAGGGGGGTTCCGCTGGTATCACCGCTGCGCCGACACCCCCCCCGTTCACGCCGCCGGTCGTCGCGATCAACTTTGGCCCAGCACCGACGCCTTCGACCGCAGCACCGCCGCCGCCAGCGCCCACGCCGTCACCCGCTCCCGCCCCCGCTGCCGCTTCGCCCCCTGCCGCAACGCCGCCGCCACCGACCACGCCGCCGCCCGCTCCCACGCCTTCACAACCGCCCTCTGCCACTTCGCCGTCACCGTCGACGACCCCCGCTCCTGGCCAGCCGTCCTCTGCCTCTTCGCTGTCACCGTCGGCGACCCCAGATCCTGACCAGCCGCCGCCGCCGCCGGACCCCGCGATGCCCCCGCTTACGGCTCACGCCATGCGGCAGCTTCGCCCGGGTACAAAGGCCGAGGGTATGACAGACCCGCGGCTGCCAAGCCGTACGAGATCAGGCACAAGGCACAGCACAGGAATCATCTCGATGCTAGACAAGGACACTCTGGTGTCAATGCTGGAGGCTCGGAGCGCGGTGGACGAGGAACGCAGGGGGCTGGGGGGGGCGGAGGCCGGAGAGCCGGGGAGAGGGGGGACCGGAGGGCAGGCGGGAGCACTCACAGCTGTGGACCCGAGGGCTGGAGGAGCACTGCCAGGCCAGCGACCTTCGTGTCCCCAAGAGCTACAAAGAGGCCATGGCGTCGGAGCACCGGCACCTTTGGAGCGACTCTATGCAAAGGGAG